CACCAATATTACAACCAACAGCGGAGATGCATCATATACAACATAAAATCGTCACTTCTCTGCAGGTACTGTTTACTAACAAGGTGACAGCGCCAACTATTGGCCTGGCATACGTAGTACAGCGTTTTTGGCCGTTTTCATAGATATGTGTAAATGCAAATCGTTTTGAAAACATTGTCGTGTATACGTGAAACTTTTTAAAAACGCAAGGGAAAAACTTTCCTGTTTTTGATTACACCGTTGTTGTGTAAACGTAGCCTTAGTGGGCCAAGCCTCACTGCCTGTTTTTAAAATACTATTTAAAATTTTATGCTAGATTCTTTACTCTAGGACACCTTTTTGACTCCAACACAATATTTGAAGGCCCCCCCTATATTTGTTATATAGATATTTCCTCTAGTGTTTTATGATTTTCTGCTTGTTTCCAAACTTTTGTTAACAAACTTGGACAGTTGATATTTAATTAACCACATTTCATTGTTTGATTATATAGAATATTCTGTATGTCCTTAAAAAACCAAACAAACAAAAAGCAGTAGTTATTGATGGCAAAATGATCTCATTTCATTATGAATTTTTGTTTTTAGCATTTTATTGTTTTCTTTCTTAATATTTAAATACTTTCTGTGGCTCGGTTTAGGACCAGTGTTTTAAATGCTTTATTTTTTTTATTTTACCTTTAATTTGAAATACATTATCTCAACAAAGTTTTATTGATATTTAGACATTTCGTTATTGTAGTGATTAGTAACGTCGATAATGAGACCTTTCTCACTCAGTAGTGACCTACTAATGCTTTTTGTGAACTGTTTTTTTTTTTCTCTCTCTCTGTTTTCCTGTAGCTTTCATCTGATGGTCTTCGTGCAATGAATGATGGCAGTCTCGATCTATCAGTTGACAGTGACAACAGCATGTCAGTGCCGTCCCCCACGGGCCTTTCAGCTGCCAAGGTCGCCCGTGCCTCCAGCCCTCAGGGGTAAAACATCAAACCATTTTCACCTGGTCACCTGTTGCCCTAATGTTATTTGCTTAACTTTCTGTGACTCATATCTTTTGGGAATACTGGTACACATGCCTTTTTCTTTCTTTTTTTCCTCCCCTCCTCTCTCTCTGACTGTAGCTCCACTGGGACTGCCACAAACACCTCAGATTTGCAGGGAAAAACAGACACTTCAAGAGGAAGCACGCTCCTGGCAGGTGGTATGTCTACTGGGGTCATTAAGTCACTTTAAAGTAGATATTTTTATTTTGTCATTTTGATAGAATAGTTCATTGAAGGAAAATTGTCATCATCTCTTACCTCATCGTTCCAAACTTGTATGACTTTCTGTTGCACAGAACACAAAAAGATATGTTTTGAAGGATGTTAATGCTGCTTTTTCCCAAAAGATTTATTTTATGAAAGTCATCCAGATCTCTTTTTTCCTTATTACTTCAACCGATATTTTCTTACGACAGAAGTGTGACATGGCAAATGAAAAGTGACTTAAATGTCACAATGGAAAAGAACAGCATGAACATTCTTCAAAATTTTTCCTTTTGTGTTCCACCGAAAAAAAGAGTTATATGGGTTTGAAACACCATGAGGGTGAGTGAATGATGACAGACTTTTCATTTTTTGGATTTTAAAAATAACTTTAAAGTGTATTTAATTTGTGTTTATGTTTTTAGTGCTACTTAATGCTAATACTGATTTTGTTTTCCAATCATTGCAGTGGACGCCACTAAGCCAGATAATGTTGGGACTTCCAGCAGCAATGCCCCGCGAAAGGGTGCAGCTCCACTAAAGCGGCCCACCTCACCCGTTCAGCATGACTCGGAGAAGAAAGCCAAAGTGGACAGTGTACAACAGAACCCTCATCCCAGTCCATGTTTATCTGCTGGCCCTGCCATAAAAAGACCTGCCTCACCCCTTGAGAATGAGATGTCCAAGAAAGCCAAAGTAGAGGAGGTAAAAGACAACACTGTCAAGTCAAATGTTTTTTTTTTTTTTAAGTTTTATTTTCAGCTTTGTGCTAATTTTGTATTGTACACCTTATTCAATCCAATCATTAACGGTACTTATAAAGTGTGGACAGTGTCTAAAAAGTGTAATTAAATCCTACTCTTCCAGCTCTCAACCCCTGAAGCAAAGTCCTCAGGTGAAACTGATGGCCGTGTAGCTGTGGATCCAGCGGTAATGGCTATTTGTTCTTACTTTTTGTTGTAAAAGTGCCAAAATTTTTCTTCTTTGCATCCGTCCCAGGGCTCCAGACTAACATTTGAGAGCAGTGGCACCAGCGCCACTAAGTTCTGCAGATGGTGGCGCCAGGAGCAGATTTGGTAGCGCTGGGGGTGGTGTGTGGGAGTATTAAAATATAGATCATTTAATCATAAAATTACTATTGTTTTGCATTAATAAGTGCAGTTACTAATAATATTACATGTTCATTTCTTGTTTATTTTTCTTTTGTTTATTGTTTATACAGATTTGACAGTAAAGCACTAAGCTTGAGTTAAGATGCATACAAAATGTACTTTTGTTAACAACAGTAACAGGTGCAAAATCTAATTTTTATATAGAAAATGTATATATTCCACTCTTATTAAATGTACCATTATTCTTCTAGTATATGGAACTGACCAACTTCAATGATTGTGTGATTTAGTAGCAAAATGAAGAAAAGTATTTCAAGGCACTTTGTGACTTTTTCTTACTTCATACACAAAAAAATGTATTCGTTTTGTTTGCCTATTGATGTATCTCAAATGCAAAAGAAATGGCAGCGCTTATGAGTTGGACAATGCGGTGGTCGCGCCAGTGCGACCGCTCACAAAAATTAGTCGCACCGGCAGAATTCAACTATTTGGTTGCAGTCTGGAGCCCTGTGTCCCCTGAACTCAAAGAGGCAGTAATGTTCGTTGTTCATCGCCCAATTTCAGTGTTTTTGTCATGATTGTTGCATTATTAATTTTTTTTTCCAGCCAAGCGTTGAAGTGGTTCCTTCAGAGGGTGAATCTAAAACAGAGACAGAATTAACGGTAAACCAATGCTGAAAAAGGGTATGCTAGTTATAATGATAAATGGAGGGTATATGTGAAAAGGCAAAATGCTGATGTTGTTTCCTGTCATTCTCAGGTGGTGGACACAGCAGAGGAGATGCCGCCTGCCCAGGTAAGGACATGATCATTTGATTAATACACAGTAATCTTTATCCTATTCAGGCACAAGTCAATTTTCTGTTCTCACTGAAAGCTTACGGAACACCAGCCAAACAAAACAATTCCTAATCTCTATCGTTTTAATAAAATATCTTTATTTTAAGCAGCACAACTGTTTTCAACATTGATAATAAGAAGAAATGTTTCATGAGCACCAAATCAGCATTATAAAACGGATAGTTCCGGTCCTTGATTCTGATTGGCTGAGCCACATTCGAAGCTGTTGTAAATTACTCTACAAACATACACCTTTGTTTACGTTTGTGTGTTGCTCGGCAACCACAACTGATTCTGAGGAACTACACTGTTTGGGGGAAGAATACTGTTTTTATTAATATCATTACACTTTATTTGCTCTGATTTATTTTGTGAAACCATACTACGTATATGGAATAACCGTTTTATAAAAGCAATAAGCCCCGTGAAGCAACATACACCTTTGTTTATGTTTGTCTGTTGCTTGGCAACCACTTTGTTGCAACCACAACTGTTTCTGAGGAGCTACATTGTTTGGTGGAAGAATACTGTTTTTATTAATATCATTACACTTTATTTGCTCTGTTTTATTCTGTGAAACCTTACTACGTATATGGAATAACCGTTTTATAAAAGCAATAAGCCCCGTGAAGCCGTGGTTTACAGTGAATTTATAACAGCTAAGGGGGTAACAACGCCCCTTAGCTGTTATAAATTCACTGTAAACTACGGCTTCTTGGGGCTTATTGCTTTATATTAGAACGGTTTTTGAAGAATCGTGTGACACTGAAGACTGGAGTAATGATGCTGAAAAGTCAGCTTTTAATTATGTTTTAAAATATAATAGAAAAGTTACTTTAAATTGTGATATCTCTCAATATTACTGTTTTTGCTGTATTTTTGATTAAGTGCAGCCTTGGTTGGCTTCATGGCTTTTCAAAAACAAAACATCTTACAGACTAAATATTTGAGTAGTAGCTAATTATGATTTCAAGAGCTTTTAACATCAAGAGCTTTTTACTTTTTAAAAATGTTACATCAGTGTCTAAGGTGTTTGAAGGACTGATGTTAGGCTTTAATATATAATTGTGTATTAAGTTTATTCCAAATATCATTCATTTGATAATAAATGTTATATTTGAAATAGTCTTTAGTAGAGCTGAATGGAAATTTCTATCAAAATGGCCAATGAATAAATGTATGGTGTCCATTACCTAGGATTAATGTATGTTCAGTTGTGGAAAGCAATCTACAAAAAACAAACAAACATATTTTCAGAAATAAAAGTCTACATTGTTGCAAAGAGAAATCACTGTGATTGGTTTATTTGTATTGTCTTATTGTTTATAATATATTTTGAATAATAAAAAAAATTTTTTTTTTCTCAAGTCAACCTCCAAAGTAAAAAAAAAAGAAAATTGTGATAGCTGTTGGTTAAACAAATTAACTATGCAGGGAAGCTACACTAGGAAGAGTGTTCTGGAAAATTTATTTTACGTTTTTTGTTGGGATGTGCGTTTACACAATTTGACACAATCCAGGCCCATTATATATAGGTCAAAACAATGGTCTGATTTTTTTTTTTCCTCAAGTTTTTACTGCACCAAAACCAGAAAACAGAACACATAGCAAGAGCTGAGAGTAATATACAGAGACCAATTACAAAGTTAGATTAGAGATACATGAGAATGTAGATAAACATCCATAACGGTACAAATTACAGACTGAGCTGAAGAGTGAAAAGTCTTCTTCTCTAATCAGTTTCAGTATGCCCTGATATAGGTGTTGCGGAAAGAAATCTATGAAAAACAAAACACAAATGAAGGAACACTTTTTTATTTAGGTAATTAAGTCATATTCTACTTAAGTCTGTGGTGAATTTAGTTCCAGTGAAATTTCTGTTGATTGCCCAGGGCCGTGCAACGTAAATCTTAATGTCTTATTGCAGTCACAGCTTGTTCAAACAGAAACTCTTATCATAGAAGAGATGATTTATTACTTTATATCACTTGGTTAGGACACGCTCACGATTATTCCCATTCGTCTCATCAATCTGATGATCTGTCTTATGTTCCGCAGAAAACACCTAACGCTGATCTGTCGGATGTCCCGATGCTCCCGGCCAACCCCATCCCCGTGGTCAAGAACTCTATCAAGCTGAGACTCAGCAGGTAGAAGCGGCTCAATCTTTGGCCAATCTCGTACTCGGGAGGTAAAATCCCTTTGTTTCCTGTCCATGTGCAACACGGCTCTCCACAAGGGGGCAGCTCTGTTCTTCCACAAACTTCCCTGTGCCCTCTCCCTCCCTACAATGCAAAAAAAGAGATGTCATACCCAAAAACCTCAATGTGATTTAATGTGTTTGTGTGATTTGGTGAATCTTATCACATCCTTCTGTTTTGACCTGAAAGACAGTGACGCTTTATGCATTTTTTTCCCCCTTTTTGTTCTTTTTCCCTTTGTAAATCAGTAAAGAGGCATGTAATTATATTCCAGGGTTCCGTTGGAGACCAATCCACCACATTGTACAGAGCTGAAGGTGTAGACGAGCATCAAAGCGTGCTCAGTAGGTGGAGATGCATTGAATCCGCGTGAACTAATGACAGTACTAATCTGACATGGAAAATTCACTAGCTAGCTCATCCAGATGATTCTAGCTCACTAATGCAGCTGTAATTGAACCAAATCAGTCTCAGATTAGTGTAAACACCATCGTTTCGCTCTGCCGTCTTCGCAGGGCATTAATTATGGGTGTTATTAGGAGTGGAGTAGCTCGTATTCCCAGCATGCTCTGAGGAGACCAGTGCTGGCCGTTCATTTAGGATTGTTTTGCCATGTGTGTATATATATATATATATATATTCATTAAAACAGAGACTACAATATTGAAACTTTTATTTGCTTTGAATAGCTTAGTTTTCTTATATGCTGGGATTTTCCGAAGGTGGAATCAAAGGTGCGTTTCGAATGACTATTGTGATTAAAATGGCAGGTCATCTCGTCGCTGTTGATCTGATTTTGAGGATGTGGATGTGAAAATATAAAAGATTGTTTTGATTTTCAAACGAATGATGGTTTATTGGGGTAGGAGAGTGATTTTGTTCATTTTTGAAATCTGTACAAGCTTTTCTTACTCTGTGTTTTGTGTTGACTGTGGATTCGTGTCACGGTAAAGCTGCCGCCCCAGGAGCACTGTCGTCACAGCACAGATTCACTCCTGTGAAACGCCTCCTATGGCCTTGCAATGTTCTTTCAGTTCTTTCATACGCTTATTTGTAAGGACAAGGTATTGTACTTTTTCACAAATAAAAGTCTACATTGTTGCAAAGAGAAATCACTGTGATTGGTTTATTTGAATCGTCTCAACAGCAGCATCATTGTTCTGATGCAGTGGTTTATTCTAGGGGAGTTGGAAAATGAGCCTATTTTCAAAAATAGTGGAGTGTTCCTTTAAAACATATAATGATATTCTAGGGAATTGTGTGCTTCTAATTTTATATCAATCGTTTGGACGGGACCCTTTTCTATTCTAACATGACAATGCCTCTGTGTATAAGGCAAGGTTCAAAAAGAAATGATTCAGTCGGTGTGGAAGAACTTGACTGGTCTGCAGAAAGCCAAGTCCTAATGGTGTGAATTTAAATGCAGACTTTGAGCCAAAAACTCCTCACCAAACACCAATGACAGCTTGTGCATATGCGCACAGTCATTTTAGACAATTCCAGAACTGTTGCAACAGAGATGGAAGTACAATTTTTAAATGCATGACTTATGTTTCCATCTTTGTTTTGGAAGTACCTTTTTCTGTTCTAAAGAAGGATGTGTCCCAATACTTTTGTCCATATATACCCTGCGTTCCATTCGGAAGGGCACATCCCTATGCCCTAATCCCTTCAAAGGGTTTACCCTTCGGAGTGAGAGCTTCGAAGGATTGAAGGGTGTAGGGGACCAAACAACTGTTTCTTGAAGTGCCCTTCTGCGTCATCATCACGTGCCCACACGGAGGCGCCGTCATCATGCAAAGAATCTGCGCAAAAGGATCATGGGAGCCCGAAGTGTCCATCAGTTGTACCCTTCGAAATCCTTCATTCCGAAGGGCCCTTTGAAGTGGCCAGTTTTGAGCACTTCGGTTTGGAATGACCCTTCAATATGGCGGCCATGATTGTTTTCACTCCGAAGTGCCCTTCGGAGGGCGATATATCCCGTTTGGAACGCACCGTTTGTGTATGAACAAGTGTTTGGTGATGAGTTTTTGGCTCACGGTCTGCATTTAAAGTCACACCAGTGGTCTTCAGCTGGGATAAGTTTTTACTGTTTTAATTTAGCTGAAAGCCATAATAGACCAACCATACTTTAAATAGGCTTATTTTTAAAGACTTTACACATTTTAACCATATAAATTTGATAGTGCTTATATTCAGTTTTCATAGCTAATATTTCAGACAAAGATATTATATCAGTATGCCCTCATATAGGCGTGGTGTGCGGATTTGGAAAGCAAATCAGGCTACATATTTATATCATTTAATTGCCAATATTCACTTTGCTTGCTTGACAAGTGTTCATTTTGGACCTGGGTTTGTTGAATTAACTGAACCTTTTGTCTAAATGTTCAAACAAGTTTTTGGTCACATTTTTTGTTGTCACAGTGTAGTTACACAAATAAGTACAGTACAACGGTAATTAGCAACATGTACTTACTATTTATTTAAGGTTAGGGTTTGGTGTAGTGTTATTTGCTTGTAATTATGCATAATTTACTGATATTACTACAGTAAATGTTACAAGGACATATTAAAATAAAGTATTTTTAGTCAAGGTGTAGGTAATGACTGACTTTTGCAAATACTCAAAAAAAAAAAAAACTTAAAATACTCTTTAACCTTAGTGGTCTGAAGTAAACAACTTGAACACCAATAGTCCTGACAGCCACTACTCCGTTTTATCCCATGCACTGCAAAACGTCTAGATTTCTGGAATGTTCTGTGTGCTTCTTCAAAAGATAGCATAGAGTTACAAAGTATGAGCAATGCATTGATGCTTCGCTATAAGCAATCACCACTGTTTCCTGGGACTGTTCCCCAAACTTTCCCCACTTATTGGTCATTCTACAGTTAGTCTTGCCCCAAATTCATGCTAATGGTCTAACCAGAAGTTCAAACAAGCAGAGCAAAGTTTGAAAGCACCACAGTGTTTACACTCTTCAGCAAGGCAGTTTACCAATGGCTCACAATTGTTAAGCTAAGATTGGTTGAATAAACTACACACATCTTTAAATGTCCTTAGCCTGTCAGTGTGAATGCACTTTTCAATGCATTTTGGACAACACTTTAGCAGGCTATAGAGACCAATTCTGACTATTATCTAGTTGCTTATTAGCATGCATATTATTAACATACTGGCTGTTTATTCGTACTTATAAAGCACATAACCTTATTCTGCATCCCTAATCCTAAACTTAACAACTACCATACTAACTGTTAATAAGCAGCAAATTAGGAGTTTGAGGCAAAAGTCGCAGTTAATGGTTTGTTAAATAACCTTAAAATAAAGTGTGACCGCATTTTTTTAGTTCACTTTCATTGTTTTTTGTTTGCTAGCCAGTTCAATAAACTGCTAATCGACAGTTCAAAAATCAATACATTTTTGCTTCTTATTTTCTTAATTGTTGTTTGGAAGTACAAGTACGCAGTTACACACTTTAATTTGTTCAGCTGCTGTTGTTGATTGATCAATAATCATTATGGTCAGCTGAGCGTAATGATGATGGCTTACCTATTCTACAAAAAAAAAGAAAAAGCTTTGTGATCTCACTTTGTGATCCTTATTCAGTGTATTTGTGTTCTTGAACCAGATAAGGATGAGTTTGTCCCAGAATGCCTGCCCTCATCCTGCTTTTAAAAGTTACACCAAACTTTTGTGTCCAACACAAGGTTTAATGAAGAATTTCTATAATCGTTATTTAGAATATATTTATTTCTGTGATCTCAGCAAGATTTTAAAGGGGAGGGGAATTGTTTCCCATATTTTTTGTTGTTGACATCAAAACCTGTGTCCAATCATACTCTATAGAGTCTTCATGTGTCACTTGATAGAAAAAGCATCTTAAGCACATCTTTATTGAATAACATTATTATATACAATGGAATGAAAGCATTTTGAAAGAGTAAATGTAAGACATATTTATTAATCATTTGAGACTACTTGTGATTATTTTAATATCTTGACGCTCCATGTCTGTGATGAATGTCTGTTAAAAATCAAATACCATTTCCAAAGTAAAAACAAAGTAAACATTTTGTGTATGAATCTGAGTGGTCTATGCAATATAAGATGTCACAGCTTATTTCTCTTATTATTTATTTAATCGTTTTTATTTTAAATTTCTTTAAGTTTATTTAATTTAACTTTTTAGAGATTAAATGAACTTTCAGTGTAAAAATATCATTGTCAATGATTTTAATTACTATCATCACAAAACATTATGGACAATCTCAGAGAAAATTCTGGTATATTCAATGATTTAAATATAGGATCGCTTTCCTCTTTTTTTACTTGGGGCTTACAAATCTCTAAATTCACGCCTAACTAATAAAACATTAAATATGTTTGTGCCAACTGCAATATTACATTTTGTAACCAACTGAGAGCCACTGATCGTCTTATTGATGCTGTGGGGAGAAAAAAAACTGAAGCATTTCTCAAAATATCTTTGTGAGTTATCTTATTAATCATTGTAGCTATATCCATTTATGCGGAAATTGCTGTTTGGCAAGAGTTCATTTTGGACCCAGGTTTGTTGAATTAATTGTACTTTTTGTTCTGGGCAGTGGAAATGTTCAAACAAATTTGTAATTACACAAATAAGTGCTGAACAGCAGTAATTAGCAACATGTGCTCACTATTAATTTAAGGTTAGGCTTTGGTGTAGTATTTAATATAATTTTATAAGGAAATTTAAAAAAAAATAAAATGGAACAATTTATTTGCCCTATTAGGCCTACCTTTGGGTATTTTATTATCTATAGCCTAGTTGGACAGCAGATTGAGGGCAGTTTGCTCGACTACTAGCTCTTTCAGTCATGTAGTCACTGTCCAGTGGTCAACAAAACAGATAGGATCTTCACTGATCGACCCAATGAGACAATTTTAAGTAGTATATGCATTTTACAGCAGGACCAACTTGTGCGTGTGATATGTGCGTTCTTGTAATCCCATGCTTTCCTTCTCAGCCTCTGAAGAGTTGTTATGAGGCTCAGCGCCTCAATGCTTCACTCTTGACTGTTGCTTGCAGTTTTGTTGTTTCCTTTTCCAGTAAGGCTGTCTATCTACGTTATCGTTCTGTTCTTCGCTGACGGCTCCAGCGCAGGTGATAAAAGCGTAACCTTCACGTTAATGAAGTACTCACACTAAAACATTGCTGTGTTCAAAGTGCGATGCCATGTTCATGCAATGAAAGGGGCTGTCTGTCTGTCTCACTCAGATCAAAACCTTCAGAAGTTACAAACACATTGTAGCTACCATTTCACTGAGACATCCAGGCTTTTAATGAGAGCAAAGCACTATGGGTAGAGGAAGGACTCGTTTCATTAAGTTACTCCAACAAAGGCCTATGTGGAGATATTTTTCAAATTTAGCTCAATTGTTTTGTTGCTTAGTTAAATGCATGTTCTCATGGATTTTCCGTATCTCACGGAAACTAAACATAAAGTCGTGAATGGTTCAAATGCTGTGTTTATAGGCTACTGCTTTGTATCTGTAGGTTCAAGGCTTTAGAATAGTTGACCCAAAATTGAACACGAGTCAAAAATGAGTCATTTCTTATGTCGTTTTTGTTCTGTCGAACAAAAAAGGACTGAATGAAGACAGGTCAGCCTTCTTTACCTCAGAAGAAAGCATGGAAAGAAAGTTGGAACAAAATGAAGTGGGTAGCTGTATTTATTTATTTGTCATAAACTGATACTTTAAGTTACTACGAGGGTTTTGTTTTCTTTATCATTTCAACAGCTCTACTAGCTCACTAGTGCTGGATAGATCGATACAATGATCGTTTCATTTATTTGCGATCAGTGTGCACTGACCGTATTTTCACAGAACAACCGGTAGGTGTCGCTGTTGTCTGTTGAGGTACTGCTTTTACATCTTCAGGCAATGCGCCCTTTTCATGTTCACGTGAAATTCAAAAGAAAAATGGACTTTCTATAACTTTAATAAATAAAACAATGTTTATAACACTTAAATAATTCCTAGTAACGAAAAAATGACTAGACGTTTTTCTTTTGAGTGGTTTTCTGTTAGTGGCAAGCACATGCTAAGTGCTGGATATTATTTAAAAATGGCATGCAAATTGGCCTTTGTTAGCTGCTGA